GCAAATCACAACCACATTGAGATACCACCTAACCCCAGTAAGAATGGCCATCATTAATAAAACAAACAACAACAGATGCTGTCAAGGATGTGGAGAAAGGGGAATGCTTCTACACTGTTGGGAATGCAGACTAGTTCAACCTCTATGGAAAACAGTGTGGTAATTCCTAAAAAAAAAAACTAGAAATTGACCTTCCATACAACCCAGCAATCTCCCTTTTGGGAATATACCCAGAGGACCTTAAATCACTCAGAAAAGATACCTGCACAAACATTTATTGCAGCGCTATTCACAACAGCAAAAACATGGAATCAACCAAACTGCCCATCGAAACTGGAATGGATTTAAAAAAATGTGGTACAGATACATGATGAAATATTATGCAGCCATAAAGAAGAACAAAACTATGGACTTCACAGCAACTTGGATGGATTCAGGGTCTATCATACTCAGTGATCTATCACAGAAACAAAGAACTCAGTACCACATGTTCTCTCTTACAAGTGGATCCTGAACATAGACATAATACGATAAGAAAGGGATTGGCAGTCGTGATACATTGCTAGGGGAGGAAGGGGGGACACATAACATAAATAAGGGTACCAGGTGAAGTGGGAACCAAAGGGAGGCCCAAACTTTACCTGTACTATGACCACTTGTACACCTAAATCTGAATTATACCTCACATCTTTAAAATGAAAAAATAAAAATAAATAAAATTGTTTAGGGAGATTTTTTTTTAATTATTGAAATGCATCATGTCAGTTTGCATCACAAGATCAGAAGCACTTTATTTTCCCCCTTGTTCCAAGTACCTAGAACATAGAGAACTAAGTCAGTGTAGCTTGAGATGAAGAATGAGCACTGTCTGTTGGCTATTAACAGCAGGTGGAAACCACAGGCATCAGCGTGTGTGGGGAGATGATATATTTTTCTTTCTTTGAAACATTTTCTCTGGGCCATATACATTTGACGAAACTACTGGTAAACCTTCTTTCTTAATGGAACCACCTGCACACATTAAAAAAAGCAATATCATAGGATACAAGATTTCCAATCTACATTTAATAAAACAACAACAAAAATGAATGTATTCCCAAAGTACTTGGAAAGTATATTTTAGTGATGAAATTTTCTTTGCTGACTTTGTAAAGGAAAAACAGTATGAAACTAAGAATGATTGTGTTCATCTTGACGAACTAGTAGCCCTAAGTTGGCATTTTCTTCTTCACTCTTGAGCTGGAGAATTCTCCACGGCTCCCTGTAGACACATATAATGACATTTGAACTATGGGATTACACACTTTAGGTGGAGGACAGTGGAAGGGTTAATGTTCCTTACTGAGGCTCTGTGGCTATTCATTTGAAAGAGAATTTAATCATGAATTTATATTAGGTCTCTACTAAAGACAAAGTAAATATGTTTTTTTTTTCACATTTGCAAAAATCCTACAATAATAGCTATAAAATCTATAAAGTTCAAAAAGATTGTTCATGCCTTAAGAGAATAGTAAAGTTGCCAGTGCATTAATTAACTCAAAAATAATGACTTACATTCTTAGGAAAGACAGAAAATAGCAGAAAGGATGAAGAAAGGCAATGCTGTGTTCCTTTTAAGATTCCTAATTAGTCGCTAGTCAATCGTTTGCATCTGTATTTGTATTGGGGATTTCAAAGACTGATACAATTCTAAATCAATGTTCCAGAAGGGATTTTAGACCCTGTCAGAACCTACTTGCTTATTGTACAGAAAGGGGAAAGGATTGTTCAGAACTAGCAGGAGAACTTGAAATGGAGTGTGGGATTCAGGCTCTTGATTCCATCCTCCTCCCACTCCTTCTGTTACTGCTGCCCCTGTGTTTCAAGTAGGGGTCTCTGGACCACTGGCTCCATGGATCTACCTCAGGGGCTGCAGTGAAGGTGGGAAATGGGACACATGCAGGATCTGGAAGACAGAACCTGGGCCCCAACCTCATTATAGCTCCGAGGTTTGCAACAGCAGCTCCGAGTTTTCCTTTTGTGTTCTGGGTTTCTGTTTAGAATTGCTGAAGAGAAAAAAAAGAGTCTCCTGCACTATTATCTCATTCAGAGATGGTCAAAACATGTTACAGTTCATAGGGTTCATCATCAGAACCAGCCAAAGGAAGAAAGAGACTTGGGCGGGGACAGGATGAGTGAGATGGGCATGTCTGATTCTAGACAAAAGATGCTCAGTTGGACAGAGCTGCGAGCAGAAAGGAGTGATCAGAAATCCCCCTGAAACCAATGCCAACCCAGGTTGGTGCCACACAGGAATATCTGTTTCTTTCTTCAAATCAGTGCTCTCTTTGGCAGCTCCACTCAGAGCCTCTTCAGAAGGTTGCAGCCCAACCTTGAGTTCCCTCTGGCCTCAATTCCTCCACCCTGTGTTCTGAGCTCAGTTCAGGCATCCCATCTGAGGGGTCTGCCCTGTGTTCCCTCATCTGGTCCCATCCCTGTGGCAAGGCGGCCTAGTACTCATGTTCCCTTTACATTTTTGTGTGACTCCTCACCCCAGACTCAGGTAAAGCCCCTGAGAGCGGGTCCCTTACCTGATTCTGTCTGGCACTGTTTGCCGAGGCCCTGGTGCAGGTATGAATGATGCCTTGTGGGCCACACAGGCTGGTGGGAAGATTATCCACAAGAATAGGAGGGCTCGCGTGGCAGGAGGTGAGTTCTGATGACAGCACTCGGCATTAGATACTTTTAAAATGATTTAACACTTGTACACTGGACTTCTTACACCATGTTGATTTAAGGGCTTACAGTTGGCTTTATTTAGACCACTGACCCAAGCTTTATTTTTTTGCCTCGAAACTTCTGAGGGATGATTACAAAACAAAAAAGACCCAGACAAGCATTCCCAATCTTACAGCTGAATAGAAAAGGGGTGAGGTCTGGCTGACATCCCCCTGCCCCGTGGACGCATTCAGGGGGATGTGTGGGCAAGGTAAGCTGACTGCACCGGGGGTGGGGGGGCAGGTAAGAAGAGGCTATAGGGGCAGATTTCTTAAGGTGGCTTTGTATTCAAGTGGTAACTACTAGAGAGGGGAATGGGGAACCGGGCTGGCCCAAGCATTTATTTGGTATTTACTGTGCACCTCCAACCACAGACCGGCTGACTACACTCTACCTGTGGGTGCTTACCTGGAGTTGGCATCACTGTCCGGCATTGCCATTCTGTGAGCTTTATATCTGTCCCCTCTGAAACGAAGTCACCAGAGAGCCCAGTATCTTGGGCTGGAAATTTGAGTTCCCAGTGCTGTCTGGGCACCCACTCAGCAGCAGAGGCCTGGTGATCATGTTCCAGCATCCTTGCAGCCCCGCGGACGGCATCGCGACCTGCCTGCCAGAGCACAGTCCATAAAGTACCCTGCCGGGATTTGAATCAAGGTCTCTGTGACCTGAAAGCTTATGCTCCTTTTCACTGTGTCATTTTGTTTACACACAACATAGATGGGGAAAGAGTATTGGTTTTATTGTCCAGTGATGGTGGAAAAGAGGAGGCAAGAGAGGGAAGGCAGGAAGCAGGACCCTCGCCAGCTGCTGTGATGGCCACACAGTGAGTGGTGTTTCTTCTCTGTATTTGTCCCCCACGGGGAGTTTTGCAACAAAAACTGGAGAGCACCTGCAAAAGTGGGTCCTGAGGACGAGCACTCACTGCATTCAGTATGTCACCTTGTGAGTTTGTGCTGCTCTGACCATTCCCCCTTTCCTTCTGTTCTTTACTTTTAAGACCTTCGGTGAAATGTGTATCCTTTTCAACTTCTTTTGTTTATTTTACTGCTCAGAATCTCGAATGAGCAGCACCGGAAGGGATTTTCTTTTAGTTTTGTCAATTATATGTTGTTAGTCTGCTGTCCAGTTAAGATATGATGGTGCTGAGGGCAGTTGTGATGTCACTGCACTCTCAGGGAAGGAGTTGTCTGGAGTGTGCACTTGGACTCATCTACAGAACTGTGTTCACCTTACACCTCCAGCAACTACCTAGGGGAAGAGTGCCTTTACAGCAAAACACATTGGAAGTCAACAAAACATAGTCCTTACTTCCTGGACAGTCATAGACAGGGCTCAGAGCACATGTCTTGAAGTGTCTTGAAGTGCAAAATCTATTTCTGTGTTAAAAACAACAACAACTCTGGTCCTCATATGGTCTATAATTGTGTGCTTTTGTCCACCAGCCCTATGCATCCAGCATTCTGTGATTTTGACAACTCAGAAGCTCAGTAAGAAAAAAATAATGATCACACATTGCCTGTACTTAACATACCTCCCAACATCTGGAGAGACCTGCAGAATGACTGTGGCATTCCCTTTCTTTAGTATCCATGTTCGACAGAACTCAGCTCTGGCAGTGAGTCGAAACTGTGCATCTCATTTATCTGCTACAGCAAGTGACACTTATTGCTTATTGAGCCAGAGAGCCTCAACCAAGGATACCTGTCTCACATGTAAAAATTAAGGAAAACCAAAAGCTGAGGAAGAGGGCCATTAATATTTCAGGCTGCATTTCAGATGCAATTATGAAATATGTCAGAAGTTCCCAAACAGTATTATTTATTTCTAAGTTTGTTTATATTCCTAAAAAAACTCTAATTATTCTTTGTTTTTTTAAAAGAACTCATTTTAAAACACGTTCCATTAAACCAAAGGTCAGACTAGAAACAGTTGCACTCACCATGTTATAACTTGAATATTTAGATGTGTTTGCCCATAGTCATAGAGAGGATACAGTGGTAAAAGGCTAATTAATCAAATACTGATTTTTGAGAAAAACTTTGCTCTCAGGCACACATATATATGTGACTCCTGAGTTAACATAGCTCAGGAGGAAGCAGTTATGTTTGAATGAGGATCTTCCCTTATTATTTGCATCCTGAATCCCAGATTTCAGAAGGGCCAGACAGACGATGTTTTACTTGTTAGGCAGGACGGAGGCAGGAATGGTTTGGGCTAACCTGTCTTTGCCGTGTTTTGCCCAGTGAGCCTGCCCCTGAGGCCTGGCAGTCACTGTAGCCCAGAAGGAGCCCCGCAGGCCGCATCAGAGGCCGAGGAGACGGTGTCTGTCGGCAGCTGTTTCGCGTCAGAAGACACAACTGAGGACTCGGGCGTGATGAGCTCCCCCTCAGATATCATCTCTCTGGACTCACAACACGACAGCATGAAATCCAAAGATAAGTGGGCCACAGACCAGGAAGACTGCAGTGACCAGGACCTAGCTGGAACCCCGGAACTGGGTCCTCAAAAGAGCCCCTCGTGGGAAAGGAATGCCTCTGGGAACTTGCATCTGAGGTGAGTGATGGGACAGACAGGTGGTCAGGAAGGTTGTGCGTAGCCACTTCTCTGCCTCCAAGAAGGTGCTCTTTTCTCACAGTGGTTCAGTAGATGTTGGGGTCTGCTGTGTGCCAGCAGCCTTCCATAGAAGTCTCCCACCCTGATTTGGGGGGTGTTATCCCCAATCATGTCTTCATGCTGTTTGCAGATACATAGTGGCTTTCAAATATATGTAAGAGTGTCTTATTTGTTTTGATACTTTATGTAAATGGTACCATATTCCATATGTTTTTCTACTCCACATTATTATTTTTTTTTTTTTGAATTGGAGTCTCACTCTGTCGCCCAGACTGGAGTGCAGTGGCCGCTCCCAGCCACCGCAGCCTCGACCTGCTGGGCTCTGGCGATCCTTCTGCCTCAGCCTTCCAAGTAGCTGGAACTACAGGTGTGCGCTACCACACCTGGCTAATTTTTTGATTTATTGTAGAGATGAGGTCTCGCCTGCCCAGGCGGGTCTCGAACCCACGGGCTCAGGCAATCCACTCACCTCAGCTTCCCAAAAGCGCAGGATTACAGGCTGAGCCACTGAGCCCAGCTCCACATTATATTTTTAAAATTTGTCCATGATGGCACGTTTTGTTCATTCATTTATCTATTTTCCTATCATTGGGCACTCAGGTTGTTCCAGTTTTGAAACAATGAACAAGTTGTTCATATATGTCTCTATTTACATGCAGAGTTTTCCAGAAAATAAATTAGAAGAGACTAATTTTCAACTTTGTGGAATATTGGCAAACTGCTTTCCAAAACGTTTGTCCAGTTGGCAGACCCTCTGGTCTATAAATAAATAAACATCTCCAAAGACTAGACATCTTGAGCTTTGCCATTGTACAGGCATCAAATGGTATCGCATATGGCTTTAACTTATAATTCTCTGATTAGTAAAGATGAGCATCTTACTGTATGTTTATTGGCAATTTGGATTCTCTTTTATGAATTGCCTTTTAATAGCCCTTAAAAAAACTGATACGTTTACCTTTTTAAATTATTAAGTTCTTATTTTTCAGTTATTTGCCCATAGATAGTCTCTAAAGCTGTGGCTGGGATTTAACTTTGTTTTCCTTTGTTGTACAATAATTGTCTTTTAATTTTAGTATTATTGGATTTATCCTTTTTCTCTCAGATGTATATGATTTTTACATACTTAAGAGATTCTTCCTGTTCCCTCAAGGTCTAAAGATAGTCTGAATTTCTTGTAAACTGTTAGTGTGGCTTTCTCACATTTGGGCTTGCCTCTACCTGGGGTTTATTTTAGGATGTGGTGTGAACAAGGAATCTATTTTTCTCTCTAACTCATCTATTTTTCTACTTTGTTCAGACGTCAGGTTTCCATGTATGCACTGGTCTGTGCCAACACTTCTTCCACAGCACTGGCTTATCTGTCCATCACTTTACCAATACCACACTGCCCTAATTCCTTGTGTTCCTTCTGATATAGAAAGGCATGTTGATTCTCTTCAGCTCATCAAGTGGTTTCACATGTTAGACGACTTTAAGAACTAATTAAATAAACAATATTATGGAAACATTAACAGAAATCAGGAAAAATGATTTTCAAAAATAGTTTACAAGTCAGTCCCCAAAATGAATGAATGCTTTTATATTTTTCACATTTTGTTTTAACCCTGTTCATATGAACACAAAAATCTTTATCTGGTTAATGTAATTATATTGTCAGTAATATTTTATTCAGATTTCTTTGTACCTACTAGTTTATTGAGAGCACTTTCCCATGTTGTTATACACATTCCCTAATAATTTTAAAGTGTGTTTTTTCAAGTCTAAGGATGACTCCAAGGCCAAGTTTATGTTTCATTAGAAGAGAAATTAGAATGCAGCAACTTGTCCCTTCCTACCTCTGCCCCACACAAAGATGCATTTAGTTGAGGTTGGCCTGTGTTATTTGTGTCTCTGAGAACAGATAAAAATCATGGCATCTCTCTTTAACCATTTAACATAGAGAAAAAAGAGCTTTCTGCTGTAATCTCCAGGTCTGTTCTTCTGATTTGCTTGGGGATTGCACACATTTGAGCGCCACAGCTGAAACTAATCAGACATGTTTAACTCTGTGCCCTGGGGATGCTGCCCATAAGACTCTTAGTTTGCTTTGCTGGTGCTGACCTTTGATGTAAAATCTTGCTGATGTCTGTCTAAATATGAGGGTTAACATTGACTGTGACCACAGCCAGGATAATCATTGCGTCTTTGGAACCTGACCCGTTTTCCAAACAGGGAGCAGGGCATGTTTTTCTGCCCTCATCTCTGGGATGCCACGGAATTTGAGAGTAGTAAGGTGAGGAGGGAAGGCGTTTTGGAACCTAACAGACGTGCAATGGAATCCCACCACCACTAGCTAGTCGTTTGGCCTTTGAGAGTTCACTTAATTTTGCCAAGTCTCACATTTTGATTATGCATTATGAGATAATGACCTCCACCTACTAGAGCTGTCATGAGTCTATAACATGCCCAGTGCAGTATGACACAGCACATGTTGGAGAGCTATTGGGTAGTATCCATTGTCAAAAGTACGTCCTGCTGGTTTAGAAAATGGGAGCGCCGTAAGTCACCTGGGCGGATCACGTTCCTTCTGCAAATGAGCAAGAAAACGGTCTCCGAGCCCCTCAGCCCTGTCTGTGGTACTAGGTTATCTGCCTAGGAATTGAGATGGACTCTCTGCCTTTCACTCCTTCCTATTCCATGAGATGACTATAGTTTTGTTTGCTTTTCATAGAATGAATATAAGAGTGTTTTTTTTTTAATAGTAATGATCTCAACTGACAAATTAGATATGCTCAGAGATTTCAGCATGGCATATCACATATTTATTTCCAAATATATGATTTTCAATAAATTGTAGGGTTACATAAAAGCAATACCTACAGCGGTGGTTGCAAACTCGATGCCTCAGGGGCCAGGTGGGGGCCCAGTGAGGTCGAGAGAGGACACAGAGAGTGGTAGAAGGCAAGAATTTCCTTTGAAAAGAGCAACCCTGTTCCTTCTGGACAGTTGTGGCCCTGCGGACTACGGGCCCTTTGTGACCAGGTTTTGAAGAGAAGACAGAAATATAGATTTTTTAGCCGGGCTCGGTGGCTTAGCCTGTAATCCCGCGCCTTTGGGAGGCTGAGTTGAGTGGATTGCCTGAACCCACGGGTTCGAGACCCACCTGGGCAGTGAGACCTCATCTTTACAATAAATAAAAAAATCAGCCGGGCGTGGTAGCGCATGCCTGTAATTCCGGCTACTCGGAAGGCTGAGGTGGAAGGATCACCGGAGCCCAGCACATCAAGGCTGTGGTGGCCGGGAGCGGCCACTGCACTCCAGTCTGGGCGACAGAGTGATACTCCAACTCAAAAAAAAAAGAAATATAGATTTTTATGTGATGTCTCCCCAAATTTCAAACGTTGGCAATGACGGTGAAACTGAACACATGTGTATACAGGATGTGGCCCATTCCCAGATATGTGCTCTCCTGAGGACTGAAGGATGCAGTGGTCATTCCACTTTTCTTCCAGAGAAAACAAGATCAGTCTACTTGCCGATTTGCCAACTTTGGAATATAGTTGCAGCTATCCAGGTATTTCTTGTGCTATGTTGCTTAAAAAATATCTATTCACAAATATGTTTGGGAAGCCATTATATTCTCCACTTAGGCTCAGTGAAATATTAAAGGCTTTTACAATTCCGCAGCACAGAAACAGGCTTAAATTTGCCCCCCATGGAATGCCTCTTGCCGTTCTCGCGAATGAGTGCTCCCATGAGCACTCCTTGAGAAATGCTGCCATATGTTCTCCCACTGGCACTGTCACGCTTAGGGCATATACAGATCCATACATTCATTACGTGGCCTCTTCTTTTGAAGACAGAGGACTCTTCTTTTGAAGACAGAGGACTCCCTAGACAAGGTCTGTGTTCCTATCTGCAACAAACGACTCTGAGAGCCTGGGCAGCCCAGGGACAGTGAAGGCTGGAGAATGCAGAGTCTGGACAGACTTCAGGGGGCTGTCCAAGCAGCAGAATGCAGTATGCTCCACGTGGGTTGAGAGTCCATGCCAGGGACTGATGGTCCAGAATCCAGGTGAACTGGTGAGAGGGCAGAGCCCACGGCCTTCACCATGGCCACCGGCACAGAAAAATCCTATCAGAACTCTAGGCAGCATCATCCATGTTTAGAGACAAGTGTTTGGGAGAAACAGCAGCAGAGAGGTTTTCTGCCAATTCACACTCCCAGGGGAGGGCAGGCCATGTGAGCAAAGGTCTGCAGAGTGTTCTTCCTCAACATAAGTTGCTTCTCCTCCATTGCGGCCCTGAAATATGTGCCCCACGTTACCTTGATCAACGGAGGCTACTCACAGGGGCATTACTGCTGTTGATGGTGCATAGTGCCTGGTCCCTGAATCCAGCCTCCTGGCTCCACCCTGAATGAGTCCGATGCCTTGTTTTGGCAACTCATCTTGAGGTGGCCATTGGTATTCCCAAAACTGGCCTGCATGGCAGTGGTGATCCAGAACCTGGTGGTGACAGAGTCCTTGCATCCCCTCTACTTGCCCGATTTTAAGGGCTCAGGCAGAGCAGAAGTCGCACTTTGCCACGACAGGCAAGGCTGGACTTTCTGAGGCTAGGAGTGGATTCTAGTAGGTTATGAAGTTGTTTCCGAAAGACACAGCTGCCCTCAGTTTGCAGAGAGTCTCCATAGTGAAGCCAGTCACCAGTGAAATACGGATCACGCAAGACTTTCGTCTTTGCCAAAGTGGCATATCCTATCACTGCCTCTCTGTCACTTGAGTATTCACTGAACACTGGGAGCAGCCTTGAGATCCTTCATCACCAAGTGTGTACGGTCTACATAGTTAAGTTCTAGTTTTCCAGCTGTCTCTCCTTTCTCTGTACCCTACAATGGTCAAAGTCATCTGGACTTCTTTAGCCGGGGTTGCCTGGGTTCATACGTTGACCAGTTGGGG